AGTGGGTTGAATTCACTCTAGGTGTGCCGGGTGGATTGCCCCACTTCCCCACCCACCTACCTAGCAACTTCACCCACCCCCTCGCCCCCCTCCACCCCGCTGGCTTTGCACCCAGCTTTGCAGGTGGGTCCCTCCTTCCTTCCTTCCCCTTTCTCTACCCCCCTCCCCTCCTTGGGACAAATTCTTCACAGGGTTGTCAAATGCGCCATTTTCCGGCCAAACTTTTGGGCCTTCTTGCAATTGCGTTGGCCAAAAATATCTGTGATGGCCTTAAATTCATTATATTTTTCAATGTATAAAAAGCATTAAAAAATCAATTGCTGTCGCATATTATAATTTTTCTAATAAATAGTGAATTTTGGCCTGTTTTTGTTTTTTTTTGTAAGCGGATCAAGGCGTTCTCTTCTCCCAACCCTAGCCCCTGTGCATGCAGCACCTCCACAACCGCGGTGCAATGATTGATGGCCTTCTTTTAGTATATGATTTATATGATTAATTTATGATTTAGGAGTCATGATTTACCTGTCATTCTTTTGCCGGGCATTTAAGTCTGTTTCTATATGTCCAAATATTTTTTCAAACGCACAGTTTATGAAAAGGATTAAAAAAATGATAACTGAAAAGGATAAAAAAACTGCGACCTTTGCTTTGGCAGAAACGGCCGCCGTATATCCAATCGACATCTTTATTTAAATTATTGGAATTATTCAAAAGAACATAAATAAGTTTGAATAAATCAACGGAGCTGAATTATCGTTGATTATAGACAAAAGGAAAAAAACAGTAAAAGAGTATCTGCTCAAATGTGCTTGTGGATTTGTCATTACCGATATTTGAAATGAAGGACGTTTTTCAGCGCACCCGAGGCAATTAGGTTTAGTGTTTATCAGTGAAAATTTTCCAATGCCTCGATATTTTCATATATTTAATTTTTATTTCTATGTATATATATGCATTCAATAATGTTAATACCATTATAAACGATAAAAAATTTCGTGTAGATGAGAAACTCCTTAGTATTACTGGCTTAAAAACTGATAATACCGAAAAGCGATGTAACCAGTTGTGTGATTAGATCATATAGCAACCAACCTACACTGAGTTTAGTATCTTGTTAGTGATTGGCTGACTATACATCGTTTTTAATACGACGCCTGGGATTGGTTGGCTCAGAGAGTGGCATCGCTCCGCCAAAGGTGACGTCAAAGACGGCAAACTCGGCCCACCTCGTCTTCACGACCCCCAGCGTGTACAAGGGCCTCCCTGGGGACCTTTTCGTCCGTTACACCACCGAGTAGGTGGTAGATACCATCTAACCGGGACAGGGTTATGGTAGACAACCGTTACTGGTTGTAGGGTGATGGTGAACTTCTCTACCAGAAGCAGGGTGATGGTAGACGCCTTCTACTCGGGGTAGTAGACCCACTCTAGTAGTATAGTAGACCCACTCTACTCAAGGGACTGTTATATTTGATCCTTCTATCATGACGGAGATGGTTGACATCCTATACTCGGGGCAAGGGTAGAGGAGTCAACCTTGCCCCAGGTAAACTCCTTCTACCTGGGGCAAGGAGCCTGCGACCCAGGGAAGGGTTGATGGTAGATAATTCACCTCTACCGAGTCTATGAGGGTGTTTAACTGGTACAGGGTGATGATGAACCTTCCTTACATAGTTTAGATTAGAAGACAACTCTTCTACCAGGCTTGGGGAAACACAGTCTATTCAGGGAGTGGTGGAAGATGGCCATATTGTACCCTTTACAGGGAGATGGTAGACAATCTCTACATACCAATATTTCGACTCTTTACTATTGAATGTTTTCATCTCTCCCCCTCCCCCTTCGCAGTGTGAGTACCCCCGAGGCGGCATGGCAGACGAGTTCTGTGCTACCACCAGGCGGTCTGCTTACTACCAGCGAGTGGAACCACAACGTGACGGACCTGCAGCCTGGTACCACCTACACCATGCAGGTACGCTTGCTACATTCATATTCTAATCCATCGAGGGCTCAAATTCTTGGGTAATTGATCATTTAATGCTTTAAATACTTTATGAATTAATTCTAAATTTTCCTCACCCGCCAGGTGGTGCTGATGATCTCCCGCACCAACGCAGAGGTGACATCACCCACTTTCACTATCACCACCCCCGCCCAGGGTGAGTAAAGCCTCCCTCAGTGGGTGTAGCTGTAAGCCTGTAACCGAAATTAATAAGAGCCCAGCCTTAAGCCACCAATTTAGCTCTTATACTAGCCCTATATCCAACGCTCAGCATAAACATGCACAGCTTCACTTAGCCTCATAACCATGACGCCGTAACACCGAAAACCATACCAGTTCCGCAGCGGCTTAGAGGTGGTAGAGCCGCTACTACCTCCTACCTACTACCATAGAGCCGTATATGGTAGTGTAGTCTTCACGGAGGCTACATCCCCACTTACCCCGCCTCCCCACCTTGCTGCAGCCAATGACCGTGAAGACTACCGGCTGGAACAGGGGCTTCAGGCTTATGGTGCCTACGGCTCTAGAAGTTAACTTCATAAGCTATGCTCAATAGTTTGCGCTCGGGGAGATAAATGAAAGCAATTGCGGCATTGGGAAATGCTGGCCAATAACATATATCCGACACCCACCCTCCCTAGTTAGTGGGGGAACCTGATTCCCCCTTAACCCCACCTTCCTCCTCCCCAGCGGTGTAGTAACCCACCCCACCCTCTTAGTTAGTGTGGTAATCTCTATCCCCACTTAACCCTCATCCTCCTCTCCAACGGTGGATCTGCCCACCCCCAGTTAGTGGGACTAAATCACTCCCACTTGACCTCCACCCTCTCTCCCTTGACCCCCACCCTCTCCCTCTCAGCGATGGGGCCACCCACCTCCCTGGACGCGGGGCTCAGCATCAGTGAGCTGCAACCCACCTCAGCCCTCGTGACGTGGCGGGCCCTCTTGCCCCACGAGGCGAGCCACATCGACGGTGTGCAGCTCAAGTACCGCAGCACACACAAGAAGGTGGGCTGGGGTGTAGAAAAGTTTGTGGTAAATGAGTGGGGCGTAAGTGAGGCGGCGCTCCAGCGTGGCCTGGGGCTGTTACGTCCAAAACATATATACTACCAAGGATGAGTGAGTGGTAGGTGACTGAATGGTATGTAGGTGAATAGTCAAAATGCGGACTTTTGAATGAATTATTTGATTGTGGTTAGGAGATTTATGATGGTTGATTAAAGGGTTTGGTTGGCTGGCGCGAGCGACGCACGTGCACCCTCCTCGGCAGCCGCGGCGGCACTGAGCGTTGCGGTGCACAACTCGCTCTCCGTCAAACCAGCCTAACCTCAACTGGTCGTAGGTGAACTACCAACGTATAGGTGGAGGAGGCAAGTCCGGATCGCTGGTTCTTGTGAATGGTTTCGGTGACTTTTCTACCTCTACCTCTGTGCCTTCCACTTATCTAACCACTGTAATTATCTTCCACTGTAATTATCACTCATCTACCGCCGTGTGTACAACTCATCTATCACCGGGTCTACCACTCATCTATCACCGAGTCTACCACTCACCTATCACCGAGTCTACCACTCATCTATCACCTGGTCTACCACTCATCTATCACCGAGTCTACCACTCATCTACCACTCATCTATCACCGAGTCTACCACTCATCTATCACCGAGTCTACCACTCATCTATCACCGAGTCTACCACTCATCTATCACCGAGTCTACCACTCATCTA